CGCAGCACTGCTCTTCCACAAAGAAGGGGTGTGCCCAGATGCTACAGAAGAAAATGGTTTTAAGAAACGGAATTTCTTTTAAGAAACGGAATGTTTTTAAGAAAAGCCTTTATTCCTTTTACTGGGCAGAGAAGAAATGCTGCTTTCTTCTTGTTTTCTTGGCATAACCCTTTTCAATCTCTTCTTCCCTCTCCCAAAGTGGCTAATTGAGTCTGTCCTCCCCAAGCCCAGCTGGTCCTAGAGGCAAGGGGATCTCCAGCCAGGCTGACACCCCTCCCCTTACTGGGGTGCCCAAAGCAGCTAGCGAGGACATGTCCGTCCCCGACGGAGACGCGGGCAAAGGGCCAAGTAGGGAAGACCACAATGGGTGGTGTCTTCAACTGGTGGTAGATAAATGGGTAGACAGATGAGTGGGTGGGTGGATGGATGGGTGGACGGATGGGTGGATGGACGGACAGATGGATGGATGTACACAAAGCAGCAGAGCAGCATCAGTTCACACTAATTGTGGCTTTAGCCAAATTTAAATGAGAATTATCATGAAACAGAAGACATTTGCTCCGTGATCGGCGTTTGTGCTCGGGAACCCTTTCTATTTCGTGCCCGCCGGTGCTGAGGAGAGCTCGCAGTGGCGGCGCTGCTCGGTGCGCTCCAGCTGGGAGCTTGTGCTCTTTAAACCCCTTTGTCTGGCTGCACATAACTCTGCCCACAGTAGCTGGCTGCATTATATACCACTTAAATGCAATTTTTATTGTTGACATTTTCCAGACAACCCTCCCTGCTCCCCAAGAGAGAGAATGAGGAATTTTTGGCATTTTATCAGCTTTGCATCAAGTCTCTTAACCACTTTGCGGCTGTTGATGTGCAGGGTGTAGATCTGAGAGGGTCGGCTCAGGTTTGGGTTCGGAGCCTTTTCTCTGCTTTCATGTATCAGGCACTCGTAAAACAAAGCCAAGATGAATAACGCCAGAGGACCGAGACTTTCATAAGAAGGGGCATTTTAATTTTCAATAATTAAGAGTTGAGCCAAGCTGATAAATAATAGTTGTCTGGAGCAGAAGCTGGGGTGTGCTAAGCTCTCCTCACTGCCTGTCCCTGCCTGCCCAGGTCTAGCAAGGACGAATGACTTGTCCCCAGAGTCAGAGCCAGTCAACAGCAGGACGAAGAAAATAATCTTAAATTGAGATTTCCAAAGGGAAAATTAGGAGCCCAAGTTTCGATATGGTCTGGATGAATAGTCTGTATTCCCCCTCCAAAGTAGTATCCACTGGGCTATAATGACCCCCTTAAAAATCTTTTTCTTTTTTTTTTTTATAACCTCTTTAAACCCAAGGCATCCAAACAATGTCCAATATGAACAAGACATTACATTTTGGAGCCTGACTCAGGAAAGCATTTTTGACAGATGCTCAGGGATACAGCTGTGGCTACAAACCTGCCTGGAGGTTCATTGTGAACTGCTTGATATCTGTGGGATGTTTGTGGGGAGGAAAAATCCCCTAAATGGATGAATTTAGTCCACTGCATTTACAAGGTTGGGCACTTCTGTCCCTTGCGCCAAAGGGAATATTTGCCCACATGTATCAGTGTAAGTACCCGTTGGAAAGTGCCGAATTTCTTGGAGTGTGGGGACCATGAAAGGAGACCCCCTTGAGCTGTGCCAGATCAAAGCCGAACAGCCATCACTGAGCACGAAACGTGATTAATAGATGTGAGAACCACAGAGCCCTGAGGTTAACTTCATCGAGTCAGTGTCCACAGATGCGGATGGGGAACAGCTTCCAGTAAAGCAAAGCCCCATAAAAATACGCCAGTCTCATATGACGAAGAAAAAAAAAATCCCTTCAGCTATTTGGCAGAGCGGTCAGCATGTCAGATTGGGGATGAAAATGGGAAGTCGTGGTGCTGTTTTGGATGGCCTCCCCGCGCCTGCTGCATGGGTGATTTCTCACATCTTTTTTGGGGGGGCAGCGACCACTGTCCGCATACTCGCAACCAACATTTCACAGGCTTGAAAGCAAGAACTCGTGTACAGAGGCTGTGTCTGCACACGCGTCCTCCTTACTTGTGCTTGGTGTAAGCCTTGTGCATTCAAAACCCCTACAAATCATTCAAAAAAGCCTCCCAACCCTTAGCTGCAAAACACTGTGCCTGTGCGAAGCGAAATGCCAACAATTCAGGCTAAATAGTTTTCAAGGCTGCTGTGGAAAACTGGTCACTGGCTAAAAATACACAAAACAAATGTAAATTCCACTCCGATGACGAACATCAGTGGAAAGATTAACTTAAAGAGTTGTGTCAAAAATGAGAAGTATTTTAATTGACGGGACAGAGCACGGCTGCTGCTGGTCGGTGCTGGGCAGGCAGGGCTTCAGCAGCAGCACCGAGCGGGACAGAAGGTGATGTAGGAGCTCTCAGCCTCCAAGATGATGCTAAACCAATACCTTTGTATTTTCCTGCACTTATCTTTTCCATTGCGAGGGCACGGGGAGATTAAGTCAGTGTCAGACACTGTCACACGCATTTTTAAATTGTTTTCGGTACAAAATGTAGGTAGTTTGAAATAGGTTAGCTACTAAAAGAGAAACGATGTTTGCCTTGGCTTGCCGCTGAAAGTAGTTACTGGTGTATTGGTTAGAGGGGAATTTTAACGCGATAAAGGACAAGGAAACAACGTTAGTAAGGGAAACTTGAAAAGGGTGTTTCCTGAGCAGCACTGAGGCACGCTGGCTTCGTAACTGAAAGCCTCTCTCTGAAACTTGGTGATCTTGTCTATTTGCCTATGAAAGAAACAGCTCAGCTTACATGAAATGACGGCATATTTAGGAGTCTAATAAATACAATTTTTTTTCCGTATTAAAAAAAAAAAAAGAACAACAAAAGGTAAATCAAACAGATATCCCTACCGGAATCCTCAAATTAGACAGATAACCCCAAATTTAGGAAGTGGATATTGGCTCGACATCCCAACACCCGCCCTCATTGGGATGGCATCTCCCACCACTGCCACCCAAGCACTCTCGCTGCCTGGAAAATACACATTTTCAAGAAACAAAATGGCTGCTAAAAAATACCCATGTGGGTAATGGCAACCTTCTTTAAGAGCATCGGTGCGGATGGCACCAAAAGGCTGTAACGAGCCGCCTGCGCTGCTGCCGGGACCCAACGGCGGGGACCCTCCTCGGGCTGCCCTGGGCGAGACCCAAACAGCTCCTCTAGCATATCAGAAACATTTTACACCTCCCGCCTCCCAGGGCCGCCGCCGCGTAACTCCGTTATTGCTGGCCAGAGAGGAGCCGAAGCGGATCGCGAGGGTGATGTCACTTCTACCCCCTCAACGTCGCACGTGCGGACCAGATTGCGAGCGCGATGAACTCCAAAGTCAAATGTGGGCTTACACAAACATCTTTTTTTTTCTTTTAATCGCCCCGTCTCGCTCCTTTGTGCTGATCACACAGTTGGCAGCTGGAACTTAAGCTGTAATATAGCTCAACTTCTTTATTTTTTTGGCATTCCCCAGTCAGCAACAAATGTCAAAAAAAATGGTGTCATTTGCCCCTTCCATTTAATTTTACTTAGGAAAACATACTCCTTTAGCATCTAATCTCACCCACCGCCGAGTAACGTCAGCTTCAGGGCTTGAAGACATTTGCCAGTTTGCAGGATCGGGCCCAGAGGCCAGAAGCTGAGCAGGGTAATGGTACCGCATTGAGTGTCACAATGCAAACTTGCCTTGAAATCACCAGTAAAATGTATTTACTTTCATATGAAATTTGGGGAGTTGATTTAAGAGCGCTCCCTGTTTCGCCAAGGTATCAAATGTCATATGATGCAGTGGCTGTCATGGCAACTACCCTTTTTATATTGAATAGTAAATGGCTACGAAAAAGCCACATAATTTTATGGTTGCTCCCGGGGGATCACATAACTAATATAAAATCTCTCATTTTAATATATTTTCTGCTTCTTTCTTCCTTTCTTCTATTCTTTTTAAAGTGAAAAAGCCTTTGAGCTGAGGCTGGCCCTTGTCCCACACCGGGACGTTGAGCTGGGGTGCGAAGGACCAGAACAAAAACCTGACGATTCAGTCTCCAGCATGGAAAAAAGAGCGCGTTAATCAACGAGGCTCTTCCAGAATCATAACCACTCCTGCAGTTCACCTCGATTAATATTTAGAGCGTTTGATGGTATAAGCCATCCCAAACCTAACTTTTCTTTATGAGTAAATGGTTCA